CTCTCTTGATCTAACTGCATTTTCACATATGTTCCATCTTTCGCCATTTGGTCGGGGGTATCACTACTACAGCTACCGTGCATGTGCATATACCCGTTTTCTTTAGGGTCTGATTCGTCCCCGGGCAAATTAACAAAATTTGAATGTCTCAACATGTCACCATGTTTAAGTGAAGCATATCGGTTTTCGTCTTGTTTCTCAGGTCCTTGTGATCCATCAACATTTTGTTGATTTCCATTATGAGAGTTATTTTCTGTCGACCGTAATGTTGACAATGCACATGGTCCGAGTGAATCGTAAGGATTCGGTTCCGCATTGATGGATCTGGATAGCAATACATTATGACCGCCATTTGTGGGAGGTGGATTCCTCGTGCGGTCATAAATCCTGTTATCAAATTGGACAAGACCGTCAAATCTATCCCTGGACTTCCCTCTGTAATAGAACAATGGTTTCTGATTTTACTAATAAAAAGACAGAGTTGCCGTTTTGTGTAGTAGATAAAAAGAATATAAATGCAGTTTTTGAAATGGATTCATTCAATGCCTGCGTTTAATAACGATATTATATATAAAATGTGTATCGGGTGAAAATATTAGAATGTATTATATTATTGCACTGGTAGTAAATATGAGCGTTAAAATCAAACAAGATATATTAATTATATTTTAGAATATATGCGTCTAAACATCCGATTAATTGTCCCTTTAATGATGAATAATATCCCAGCGCATGTGTCATATTTAAGCTACCCGGTTAATTACATTTATGAAATATACTTTTGACATACTGTTTTGCCATATCTCAAATTTTAACCCTGAAACGTTTTCAACCACTGACCCATATCGGTACTCAAACCATATCAGCCCTCAACCAATTTCAAACCTACCCTATATCAACCATTGACCCATATCGGTACTCTACCCATACCCCTCAACAAGTTTCAGCCCTAATCTACATCAACCATATACCCATATCGATGCCCAAACCATATCAGCCCTCAACCAATTCAAAACAGAAACCTATATCAACAATTAACTTATCAATTTTCAACCCATATCACCCCTCAACAAATTTCAACTCTAAACCTATATCAACTATTAACCTATATCGGTCCTCAACCAATATCGTCCAAGCCTATTTCAACCATAACCACATATCAACCATTAACCTATATCAACCATTAACCTATATCAACCATTAACCTATATCAACCATTAACCCAAACCCCCTGTAGATTCGGGGAAATAATAGGCCTCCTGCAATCCACCGGCGGCTTCTTTCTGTGTCCTCTGCTAAGGAGACATTGAAGATATCACAATAATCTGCTGCCCCCATTGCAACATTTTGGATCTTCATATTTTCTCTCTACTGCTGAAAACTATTTTTTCTTGTGCTTTGTTTGACAACACCTTTTTATGTCATAGTGTTGAGCGTTCGCCAAAGTGTGGTAGGTAATGGGTTCTGTCCTTAATCCGGGAGATACCGAAGTCCTTAAAAATGGTAGTTTTTATTCCCTGACTAACGTTTAGCATTTCGGGTATCGCAACAACTGGTTCACACGTTGTCAGTATAATGTGAAAGGGTGAAATACTGTGCTGGGTGCTCTCGGTAAGGTATTTCAGTAAGGTAGCATACTAAATTCGGCAGCAGATACCCGCTATCGCAAGGAAGCAAATGCATCGTCACACTCTGTTTCCAGCACGCATACATTACACACATAGAGGCACGTCCTTAAATGACCTTAGCGGTTAATAGGACGTTAAACAAAACAAAACAAAACCTTTCCATTAGCGCATATCGCTGCGCAACCCATATCAGCCCTCAGCCAATTTCAACCCTAGGCCTATATTAATCATTAACCCATATCGATCATCAACCCGTGTCACCCCTTAACCACTTTCAACACTAAATCTGCTTTTTTGTATATCAACCATTAACTCATATAAGTCCTCAATCGATATGAACCCTCAACCAGTTAAAGGAAAATATAGTAGCTAACAAAGAAGATAGCGTAACAATATAGGCATTAACAATAAAGACATTTACAATATAGACATTAACACGGAAGAAAAATGCATATGACTCATCGACCCTCAATCGATATAAATCCTCAACTCGTTCAAAGTTAACGTCGTAACTTAAAAAAGAGGATTAACATTAACAAAACAAACATTTCTAGAAAACAATATCCTCAATATAAACAACTTTTTTTCGTGTTTTTTATTATTTTTTTATTAATAAAATAAGTACGACCAAAAACGAAGAGGCTTCTTTTTAGTCGAGTGTCGAGCTTCGAGTGAACACTAATGACTAATGACTAGTTAAACGATAGAATTAGGCGACATATCTTCATAAATCACGAAATATTTAAATTGTTCTCACCTTTTCCTTGCAATGATGACAATAACGATGATAATGAAGATAACAATTAATACGATTGACACCACAAGACCAACCAATATACCTGTAAAAAAAAACTTAAATTAGTGAAATGATTTCTTTTGATAAAAGAAATCACTTATGGATGTAATCTAATGATAATTGTTTCTGAAATGTAGTAGAACCCATTTCTATTCCAAGAGTGAAACAGAAAAACAACAACATTGCAATCAGTGTAAGAAAATTGAGATTAAGCATGTACACCTTGTACATTACATGCTCTATGTGAAACTGAAGGTTTTCTTTACGGGGATTTCACAAGGTCAGTAAAAATTAAATTAATCTCTTGTAAAGATTTATCAAATTTTGATTTATGATAAAAATATAGGAAAGTCCGATTATACTCTACAAGATGTACATGTAATTTCATTATACTCTCAATTTTTACATAAAAACTAGTATTCAAGAATAGTAAGATCAAAAGCAACCATCATCTGAGCATAAGATCAGATATAGACAATATGTGGCTAGTGCAAAACAAGGCTTATTAGGCTAAAACACTTATGCTAATATTTTGGGGAAATTCGTTAGAATTACATAGATAATAATCTAATGTACAATAGATAAATAACATAAGTTCGATCACTATAGTATATGTATATCATGTAATTGAAGATAAAAACATGGATTATCATAATGTCGCTTCGTCAGATTTTCAGAAAGATTGACTGGTTTTGGAAGATGTCATTTTCGTGGATGATTGTATGGAGTTGTGTTTGTATAATAACCGAAAACAATAACTGATTATTTGGTTACTTGTTATTCGACATTTAGTCGGAGGACAAATAACTGCTTCCAATTAACCCTCGGTAGTATTAGTTATATATAGATATTGTTAGAAATGAACATTCCCTTTTCCTCGATTTGTATCTTGAGAGTAGTTCGGAATAGATTACCACCCACGCCCACCACCACCACCACCGCCGGAATCCCATCCCAAACCGTCCCCGCGCACACTTGGATGGTATAGCACGCGTCAACAAAGCTTAAACTGAAGAATCAAAAGGCAAACTATACTTGTTTACAAATTCACTCGATATTCCAGCACGATGAAAACAATCAGAGAAGAGTTATGTCCCTTACAGTATAAAGTTAAATGCACTATATTTCGAAATCAGATGATTCCAAGCAGAAATGTTCAGTGTCTTAATGATTCTGAATATTTTATTATAAACGGGGAAAACGAAGACTTAATAAACAATCTTACCTTCTGGCAGTGCTTTTTGTCCCCTTTGTTGTCCTTAAATACGAAAATACACACGTTTGTATCCATTTCATTAGAGTAAAAATAGCAAATACATTAACAGTTTTATGATACTCAATACTGACATATACCTGGTATAAACATCCACCACAAAATTTCAATACTCACACAGCATGAATGATAAGTAAATTTTGATGAGATATTTTACGTAGAGCACATTTAGAAAAAATGTAAGAAATTCAAAGAAAGGCAACACGTTTCAAATATGTAAGTACCTCAAAGTAAACATTCTAACAAAATAAACTGCCTCAACATTTACTTCGTTCGTAAAGGACTTAACAGCGGTACCAGATGCCAAAACGATTATAAACATTCGTTAAAAAATGTTTCTTAACATATGTAAAAAATATAACAAAAAGGTGTCTAAAATTCCTTAAAAACATAGCACCTTTATAACTTTTTGCTATAAAAAAATCTTTAAATCTTAAATTAGTATTGTATGCAAATTATGGAAGATCATAAATTCCAGCAACAAAGTTAAGGCGAAATTTGGCTTCTGAAAGTCATCAGTTATCATTATAAAGACAAAAAAGAAAACTGCTGTTTCAAAAATTGAGAGCCAACCAAATAAAATATTTTGCTTCATTGTAGTTTGCTGTTTAGTTAATATAAAACAAAACATGTTACCTATTTGCCCAGCTGTCGCAAGGGTTGTTGTTCTTAACGTTGTTGTGGTCGGCGTTGTTGTTGTGGTTGTCGGCGTTGTTGTTGTGGTTGTTGTTGGAGTTGTTGTTGAGGTTGTTGGAGTTGTTGTTGTTGTTGTGGTTGTCGGCGTTGTTGTTGTGGTTGTCGGTGTCGTTGTTGTGGTTGTCGGCGTTGTTGTTGTGGTTGTCGGGGTTGTTGTTGTGGTTGTTGTTGGAGTGGAGGTTGTGGTTGTTGAAGTTGTTGTTGTGGTTGTCGGCGTTGTTGTTGTGGTTGTCGGCGTTGTTGTTGTGGTTGTCGGCGTTGTTGTTGTGGTTGTCGGCGTTGTTGTTGTGGTTGTCGGCGTTGTTGTTGTGGTTGTCGGCGTTGTTGTTGTGGTTGTCGGCGTTGTTGTTGTGGTTGTCGGCGTTGTTGTTGTGGTTGTCGGCGTTGTTGTTGTGGTTGTCGGCGTTGTTGTTGTGGTTGTCGGCGTTGTTGTTGTGGTTGTCGGCGTTGTTGTTGTGGTTGTCGGCGTTGTTGTTGTGGTTGTCGGCGTTGTTGTTGTGGTTGTCGGCGTTGTTGTTGTGGTTGTCGGCGTTGTTGTTGTGGTTGTCGGCGTTGTTGTTGTGGTTGTCGGCGTTGTTGTTGTGGTTGTCGGCGTTGTTGTTGTGGTTGTCGGCGTTGTTGTTGTGGTTGTCGGCGTTGTTGTTGTGGTTGTCGGCGTTGTTGTTGTGGTTGTCGGCGTTGTTGTTGTGGTTGTCGGCGTTGTTGTTGTGGTTGTCGGCGTTGTTGTTGTGGTTGTCGGCGTTGTTGTTGTGGTTGTCGGCGTTGTTGTTGTGGTTGTCGGCGTTGTTGTTGTGGTTGTCGGTGTCGTGGTGGTTGTCGTTGTTGGAGTTGTTGTGGTTGTCGGTGTCGTGGTGGTGGTCGTCGGTGCCGGTGTAGTCGTTGTCGATGTTGTTGTAGGTCCCATAGCTAAGACAAAAAAGAAAAAAGAAAATAATAATCAGTAATAGGACGATTATATTGAGACTTCAAATTTATTTCATTCCAAAAAAGATCAGTTAACCTGAGACTGATTTTCTGGTTTAGAGCAAGGAAGATCAAAATTTTCATCTGTATTTTGCCAGCGATAACTGTCTATAAAATGGCATTCAAAGTCCTTAGATGTTTCATAATTAGACATTTCCGTGGTGAGGAAATATTTGCATTTTTCGAGTTGAGTAATTTAGTGCAAAACTATTTACGCGCGAATATCTATTAATAGATTATATGTATTGTAGATATCAACAATATATAGATGTCAGCACCATTGCCAACGCAAATATATTCACACTGATATCTGTTAAAGAATCACATTGCGAGCATTTCAACACGCGATTGTTGTTTTTAAAGTATTCAAGAGCCGAACACTAACAAATGTATTCACCTTAACCTTAATTACTAATGGCAATTATTCATTTTCGGCTGTCGACAACTGATATAAATACTTACAACATAGGGTTTCGAAATAAGCAGGCTTATGAAAATTACATTCTATAGTTGCCACCATATTAGGGAATATATTATTTCCTTGTGTGACATTAAAGTTGATTTTTTTTATTATGCTCTTTAGTATACATTATTGTTTCGTATTCACTATTCGGGTTCGGGCTATTTGAACGTGGCATGACTCGGATTTGACCTTAATTTATAGGGCCAGTGTCGTCGATAAACTGAAGACGCTTACAATTACGGAACACCTGGTCTTATTTTTTTTAAACATTTCCAAGGACCTCAAAGTAAACTTTTTTTTTAATTTCATACGTTTGCCCTAGTTTCGTCAATTTTAAATTCGAAATAGAGTTTTCTGAATCTAAAGTTCTCTTGTTTTTTATTCAGAACTTTTTATTTTTGTTGTATGCTTTTATGACCAGTCTCAAGTTACGCTAATTTACTTACCGTACTGGCAGATGTATTGATATTTCACCTGCGCACTATTGCAGTGTCCCTCTCGCCATTTTCCGTCATGTGTCCGAAAATAGGCACAGTCCTCGGGACAGAACTTGTCAACGCCGAAACAATATTCAGGGTAGCCATTGGCCGAATCCCAGTTGTCATAAGCCCATGCCTCACCTTTTGCGAAAATAAACCAACAAAAACAACTTTATGTTATTATTTGTAGAATTGTCGGCAAGAGAAATACGTATTTGATTTCCTGTACCCTTTGCCTATGTTTTCACTCACAACCAAAGGCCTGATACAGTGGGAAATAAATTGCATATCGGCTTTTGGATGCAGGCATTTTTTGGCAACATCTCCGTTTTCAGTCTTTGTAATATGGTTCGAATCCGGTCCAGATAAGCTGAACTTGTATACTCAAATCACTGCATATGTTATTGATAATTTCATAATTTCATAAAAGCCCTGTAAACTATGATTTTCTTTTCAAAAATTATTTATCAAAGCTATAGTCATGCTAGAAAGAAAAACACTTTCTAAAGCAATGTTACGGGGATACTTTAAGTAACATTGGATCCTATGATATTTATCGAAAGCATATTCAATGCATGTCCTGGAATCCAAACAGATAAATAGTTCAAATCGCTTTTCTGTGATACATGTACATTATAAAAACAAAACATTGGAAGGAATAGGCGATTCAGACCTAATGTTAGAATTACGGTTTTCCTGGTACTTTGGTATTCTTCTAATTCTTTTTTATTTTTGCTTGTATTTTGATATATATATGCTACAATATATGTTTGAAAATGGCTAAAAACAATACCTGTGACCCATTTCCATTGCTGTTCTGTGTCCTTGTCGGTGAAACCTATCCAAACCTGGTACGTGGTGCTTGAAAAGGCAACAGAGGACATGATGAAATTCATCGTCGACTGATCCAATATCACAGCAAGATGGCCGCCATTGCTAGAGGAGCAGACCGCGCTAGCTACATCCCACGTGACTGGTGAATCAACATACTGGTAACACTGACCATTGTTGGTGTACATTGTACCAGTCAAACCAGACGGGCATCGATAGAGCTCCGACGAATGGGTTGGTGCTGGAAAGTAAAACAGAAGCTTAACTAAGGCATTGATACAAAGTGTTTTTTATCAATAGGTTTGATTCCCCGATAGGACATGGACATGTATAGGGTTCACCTGCTCGTACATAAGGGTTTTCCCTGGGTACTCCGGTTTCATCCCACATGAAGACCCACTAAGCGCTTCCATCCGGGCCAACAAGAGTGATTAAGTTAATAAGTTTGTGTCACCATTTCTCAGTAGAATTTCTTCAAATTTTTCAAGTATATTGTCAGAATTTTAAGGATTTTAAATGGAAATTGTGTAAAAAGGAGTAAATTTTGAAAAAAAAAATGAAAGACACAAGTTTTTTGCAAAATAATGTCAATAAAAAATGATACTGCCATAGAATAGTATTGCCCTAATGTATATCAATTTAATAAATGCTGAAATTGTGTTGAATAAATTATCTATAAACGATTAAAAATTGACATTTTATAATAAAACCATATACACATAGTAATTGCATATAAGAGTTATCTTTCTTGAAAAACTTCACCGTAGACGAAATAGATAGTCGGTTTCCTGAAGAACAGAAAAATGGACACATGTGACTCATTGATAAAAAACAACTGAATGAATGCCTGGATTGCATTTTTAACTATGTATATCATAAATTGAAAAAAAATGAATATATATATTTCTGATTGATAACAAATTGAAAAATGTGCTTAGCAGTAACATTACAATATGCGGAAATTGTGATACTGTCTCCCAACATTGGATTTTCAACTAGGGACGAACTTCCTATTTCCGTTTATCAATACACTCATTCGACCTTAATATAAGTTTGAAAACTGGTTTCATAATTGTTGTAAAATTAAAAAAAAAAATCTATCTATAAATAATGTTGGGCCATGGACAAACGAATGGATTGGTATTGTAAGAAAAATAAATAAAGAATCAATTATATACCACAGCATTATTTAGAGTTTTACGTTTTCTTGATGAAGGGTATTTAAATTATATACTGTAAGAGTGGAACTTTCCGCGTATGGAAATGTGTAATGTTCGCGTTGAAACTCCTCAGACCTTCAGAGGTGTGGAACGTGCTGCATTGGCAATTATTTTTATATCTTATCTTTATTTATATCTGTATTCTATTTAACATATGTATAAATATTCGCGTGTGGATATTTTTCTCTAATTTTCTAAAAACGAAAACCGCTAGCATTTCAACACCGCTAAAATTTTCACTTTCACAGTATGCTATACAGGTAACAATCAAAGTCTCTTCACTTGCTTAGAGTTATAAGTTTTCTTAACAACAAATTCACCTTGTAATGTAGTCGACTAAAGATAGGATCACACACGGAGCATTACTAAGTTTCATGAAGCTGAAATGTTACAAACGGTCCTAGTAAAATGGCAAAGAGTTAACCTGAGGGAGCCGTGGCTTGGTTTGGTTTGTTTGTGATTTACGTCCTACTAACAGGCATGGTCATTTAAGGACAAGACTGGAGTGCCCGGAGAAAAAACTTCTGACCTGCGTGGTGTGGATTTATACGGGGACACGTTTTGAAAGGGACAAAGTATCTGTCATATTAGCACATTATTTCAATTCAGAAGCAAAACTTTCACCAGGATAAAGCAGAATTTTATCGTGAGGATATTGAATTATTTGTTTTGCAGAGATTGTCGGCAAGTTTGTTAAGTACATAATGTATAGCGTAAATAAGTATTCGACAAAACAGCAGACAATTTTGAATTAATTTGGAAAAAGATAAAGTACAGAAAAAATGAACATTCGCAAAAGAGAAAAACACCTGATAGCAGATAATCACTTACACAGTGTTAAAACTGAAATGCTTAAGTTTGTAAGCATGGCGAATTGTTTTTACTTCCAAAAACGAAGTGTACAGTTTTCAGTTTGTTTAAAGTCACCAGAACAACTTTACTTAGTGAATATGGGATGCACTTCCTTGTGTCATGAGTCATATAATGTAAGCATATATGTATTTTTGTTTCTATATCCTGATTAAACACTTCAAATGTTAATTTCCCACAGGAAGAAATATATATTTAGTAACGCCTTTTATCGCTCAGCTGATTCATTGCAATAGCCCAGTTTATGGTTGATTTGGAACTAACCGGTGACTTACACCGACTATTTCACCATAAATGATATCATATTATCAGAGGTTCAAATTGTACAATCTTAAGTTACATTTCAAGGACGCTAGACCAAAACAAGTCCGCATGTAAGTTCAAAAACGGCATTCCTGGGTGTATACACCGGGACCTGTATTCATGAAACCTAACATGCTCTAACATAGATTCTGTGTCCGAGCATATTTTTTTTGTCCCAGTTATAAATTGATAATTAAATTTTATATTGTCAAAGATATGGAGCAAAATTGAAGAAATTTAAAACCAAATATTATTTTTAATGTTTACGTTTGACCTTTTGATCGTTTGAAATGATATAAGTGAGTTATACGAAAGTGGGTTTGAACACATAGTCCATGCTTGAGCATGAGAACGGTTTCATGAATAAGGGCCGGGACTTCATTTGACATGCACAATTTATGTTTCATATCGGAGTGATAATGAATACACTGTATTATGGTTGTATTTTCTAAAAGAAATTATGAAGGTCTCTGTCACAACTGAGAACAAACTATGATATAATTCGTGTCTGTAGTGGTTGGATGTCTGGAAGACATTGCAAGCTTTGGGTTTAGTCTGGAAGACACACCAGAAAGCGATGTGCCGACTAGAGAAGGCTGCAGAGTGTGCATTAAGCTGGCTTATGAGCACACTGGAGAAGAAAGACGGGAAGACATCTATTTACAGGCATTGAGTTGATCCTACTGTCGACTTGCCATGGCGAGAGGCTTCCGGGACAAGGTTGAATCATTAAGAGACTGCTGTGACGGATTGATCATGTTACATATAATGGATTTGAAGTATTCCAACAAACTGATCGTACATTTCAAGGACATGTACTGACATGTATATAAGAATGCACGGGGTCAAAGGTAATGGAGTTTGCATTCTTAGCTGACTTCCTACTCCAGTGTACCACATACATCTAAATATCACGACATTTGGGGCTCTGTTGATCCATAAACTGCATATCTAGATACTTAGGCATTTATACATGTGACGCTTCAATACATAATGAGGAAATATAACGATGGTCATCATAATTTTTATCAATACTTTGGACATGGGGCAGGTGGTTTGTAATTGAAAAATATGTGTTTCGCTTTTTTTGGAGTCATGACATATTTTCTCTTTCGGTTTGGTATCTCCTAGATTTCTTTTGCTGTCCTTTCGTATCTGTTTGAGCTCAGATTTTAATGATTTGTTCTTGTTTGTTAATTTTGCAGTACAAGTGCACTATCTTGGCAAACTTCTTGCTTGTGAAACATTTAGCATATTTATTTTAGATATCATATCTTGATTCTGGAGTTCCCCAAAAAATTAGTATCTTATTAAAGATACAGTAGATTTTGAACTTCATACCAACTGATTAGTTTAGCCATTACTTAGCACAAACTTTCATATCATGTACCTTAAAAAAATCCAAAACCACTTTACATAGGATAAACCTAAATACCCAACCTCTGAAGATAATGGAGAAAAATGTGTCTGTTTTATCCAACTCTAATTTATAGAATGAAGCGATTACGAATGACCCGCTGTAGAATCAGATTTTTTTCTTCTTTGTCCTTTGTTTAGGGGAATCTGACAAATTCAGAATTGATCTGCTGCACCTTAGCACCATTTGAGATCTATATATTTTTGTCTTCCCTCACTTCCTTACTCCGTCTGCTCGGCGTTGTCTCCCTAGACCCCCGTCGTCATGTGATTTTTGCTGTTGCCATGACATTATACCTCATACAAACAAACATACAAACACGGTTTAATGACCTGTTAAGCTAACCATGCTTGGAACAGCTCTACTCGGATGTTGATAACTGATACTGTATATAAAGGGTGAGGGTGGATCCAGAAATTGTTACCAATGGTTACCAAACACATAAGGTAGATGAGAAAATAGATAACTTTTTTTACAAAAAACACGAATATATATAAACAACTCGGCTACGTGAGCACATCATTTCAAATGGATTCCATATCATTTAAATACAATTGGATTAGGCGCCGCATATTAAAGCCTTTCCAGAAGGGAGAATATACATTGCAGACATTCACAAAAACACATATAAACATATTCGGTAAGTACTATATTTATAGAAGATATGATAGATTGTATATACATTCAGACAAATATAAAAAGGCTTTTATCAATTTGTTCTAGAATATTTTTGCATATGCACAGACATTAAAAATGAGGACGCCGATGAGTACCAATATGGGTCCCCTGTAAGTATGACACCAGCATCTGCAGGACTTATTGTGTAGGGTTATTTCTATGCTTTACAGTATCAAGTACTGTACTTTAACTTTGTTCATGGATGTTGTATATATAAACTTCACTCAAGCATGGGCCTCCTTGTTGTCAATCCGTAAAACCACCCAGTCATTGACCTAGATCTATAGTTAGAGAACATGAAATCGTGACAACATTTAGTGAGTCATGGACTGATGATGAAATAAAAATTGAAACTAATTTTCACTTGTCATAAAACTGCAGTAGTAGATAGAGTGAGGTACTTTGTAAACTAAATTTCATAAAGAGAAAAAAAGGTGTATTACATGTAGTACTTATTTACTAATCGTAATGGTACAATGAGGTGTTAATGAATGGGTTTTTTTGGTTTTTTTTACTTGAAACAGAGATATCTTTAAAACTTCCTCTCTATTTGAAATAAATCGGTTTGTGTTTAACTCAGGAATACCGATACCAAACCAAATGTTGCCATACAATTAATATGTGAGACTCTAGTGTCAACAATGTTGATGCGAAAGATACATAGTAGATCTTACTACGAATGCTAGGAATATGTTTCATAAATTGATACTGAGATTTATTGATTGAAGTAGTTTATAATACATTTGGAATTAC